ATCACTTCGTTCCCTTTCTTTTCCGCCTGAGCATCGTATTCCAATTCCAACAATGATCGAACCCTTTTCATTGCAACCTGTAAATGGAAGATTTACAAAGCTGGTATAAATGCCAAACATAAACGTATTTACGTCCTATTTCTCATATCGAAAGTACTGATTTTAATATGGAATGAAGCTGACAATTTTTAGTGTAATCAAATTTAAAGCGTACAGTATCCAATATAGGAATGCATGAGAATTTTTTCACTACGTGACTGGAAATATTAAATAGGAATGGTGTTCCCGAGAAAAAATCGAAGAAAGCCAGGCCTATGTGTAGACCAACACTCCATCACTAGAATTCCCACCTCGTAATCCTGATCACTCAACGGTGCGAAAGCATTTTCCAGAACATCTGAAGCATGAGCTAGTATGACGAGCGACAGCATTTTCTTGTCCATTCGATGAACATCATTCGTCCATTTACTTAGCACAGCTTCTTGTACTTCCTAAAAACATTCGAATTACTGAATTTCCCCGAGTAAAAAGTATATTTTGCTGAAGATTGCAATTAATCTCAGACAAGCTCTTTTCCCCCAAACCTCTCGTCAACCGCTTCGAAGTCATCTTCAGAACTATTTTTACCGAATACTCTTTCTATACCTCGGTATATGAGTGGGTCGGCCTCTCTCGAAAAATTCAAAAGTCTCCCCTTAGCGGCCAAACTTCGGAAAGTTAGGCGAATGCAGACAACTTTAATACCGTACTGGACAGCTCTCGATCAATCGGCATTAACTAGTATTGATTTGTTGTGCAGCTGTCTATGTTTTCACAGCTCACTTACTTTCTATTGTAGAATATTGAGCGCTTGCAGAATAAACAGAACGGTTTTGCAGAACATGGTTTCAATATTACTGCAATGATTGATCGATAACCGTCCCCTCCGATCGAACCGGATTCGTGGTGTAGTTGATCGGCTACTTATAGCCTCTCACTCTGAACCGGAAAAGGGATCTGATGATAGCCGTGCAGTTCATCCCTCCACAAAAAGGTACAATTAGGGCATCCCGACTGGTTATACTAGTAAACTTAGTTGCATGTAAGGTAGATTATACGCTTATAGCCCTGTGAAGGGCAGGTAGTGTTTATGATTGGCTATCTCGCTAGATATGGTATTCTCCAGAATTCCTTATTTCACGCCTTTTTCTTTTCACAGTTACCCACTACAAAGACTATATACGACAGAGGTTGCTGAAAAAGAATTCGGGTGAGAATACCCAAAGCAGTTTTCCCTTAACAACGGGCAACGCTCAAGGTGAGGAGATAACGATGAGGTTGCGTATAAGTTGAAGGAAATAATGTAAAATGTACTTGAACCTAGAAGAAGCGGAAACATAAAAGGCGCCCTTGTCTCTTCACAGACAGCCCGCTTGAGAGCTCGTCCCATTTACACTTTCGAGCAACTATGAATAATATCAGTGATGAAGAAAACAATTACACTCACCTTTATGAGTTTGGTCTTCTGATTTCCATCAGAAAGAGGATGGGTGGTGATCTCGAACAGAAGGAAGTTCTGCTTATCCGTTGTTAGAACACCTTTCTCTACTAAATTCTTTGCTAGCCTTTCTCGGACATTGCGAAGTTGATATCTCAGCTTGAGGGGATTCCAAGTCTGAGTAATGAATCATTTTGACATTGATTTAGTTCACTGACAACGGTCACCAACCTCTCCGCTGAGATACTCTATCCAGCTGGTCACGGTTTCCGGAGGATTCGTTTCTTTCATGTGCCTAAGAGCCTCGTCCAAAATAACATCACCCGTTGGTTCACTATTTTTTACAGTCACCTAAAACTACTGCATATGTACGGTAAAAACGATAATGACAGTGGTAACCCACCATCGATTGGACATCTGGAGAGGGAAAAACAACATAAATCAACAATGACTCACTTTTCTGGTTAGCAATGACTTTTTGCGCATTCCGCAACCTTCTAACTGAATTCTACCACGGAGGGCCAACTCAATCAGAACGCATCCTCGAAGACCCGATGAGATGCAATCGTTCCAAAACGAGGTATAACCCTTAAAGTTTCTACGTTTTGTTTAGGAATTTCACTATCTTTACAAATTTGATTCTTATGCTTCCTACAACACAGCACGTCCTTCTCCTTCCCATAGTTAGGGTATCTTTCCTTGTTCTGCACTAACTCATCACCTCAAGTCCTATAGAAAGGACTAGTGGGAGTTAGGTCAGAAAAAAGGAGAGACATCCTAACTAGAAACACAGTACTCATTCAGCCATTTTTCCTTCTACTGATGGATTATTCCATGAGTTTGCACCCTCAAATTCCTGTCTGACCGAAGCCCTATCAAGATGTGCCAGCGCATAAAGAACAAGCAGTGGACCTGGTTCGGAGGCCATATTACAGGTCTCAGAATATTACTAGAAGTGAAAATAGCGTATAACAAAACTAGTCAAGGACGTTCCCGCTGTTCCAGAAACCAGATCTCATTACTATTCGCAGCAAAACAACGCTGGACAAGCGAACAACAAGTTTCTCGCTTACATACGTAGATAAGCGTATACGACCGGCATTGATTAAATAGTCACAACTTAAATTTTGAGTGGGAAACGCTACACAGGGAGTTACTCCCGTCACTCATCAGAAAAAAAGGAACCAAAATCTTTAAACAAAACATGGACTATTTGTTCAAGGTCAACAAGCGCAAGTGGAACGGCGCACTATCGTAACCGTGAACAAAAAAAAGAAAACCACATGCAGAACTCGAAACATACCTCTCTATCTTTCAGTCCTAATAGGAGAATCTGTTCCATCAATGTCAAACGTGTGCTTTTGTCATTGTCTTCCTGAATTTCCTATATGCGTTCAAAAAACCTATTATCAAAGGTGTAATATTACAATATTATATTACAAACACGAGATGATTAGTGTTGCAGGGAGTAATTACTCTGAAATAAGCTTTTTGTGTTAAAAACATGAAAGAATATTGACTAACCTGGTCCGATGAAGCGGCTGAGTCTGCATTCTCGTCACTACGATCAGCTGTCGGCTGAAAAACCCACAGTAGTAGAAATGTTTGAAACATTTTACAAACTAATAGTTACATTACCACTATCGTACAAGTGAAATAAACCAAAGCGTGAACTTCACGTGGTAAGGTATTGCCTTTGATTGGCAGCTGATGTGCTGGTGGGCTTTTTTTTGTCAACTTCTCTTGAGAATGAAAAAAATATAGTCTCACTACTAGCATCATCTATCTCATTTTTTGTGGCCTGTAGGATGCACGACGTATGATTCCTCACGGGTAGGTTCCAATATGAATGGCCTACACGTGAAACAATCGAGAGGACCAAAAAAAGCTGCACAGAATCCTCGAACGGTGATTTGTGAATCGAGCGTTGACAGCAAATTTGTCTCATTGTGGAGCATAGGCAGATAGCAAGGGTCACAATGGGATACCCGGCTACGATAAGAAGCTTTTTTACAGACACTGTGCCCGGCACAAGCGCTGGGCACAGTGTCTGCACTGTGAAAAATTGAATCCCAAAATCCCTCTCACTTCAGATGCAGTTCCCTATTGTTTAGAGGGACCTTTTTGTAGATCCTTAATCTATTCACATAAATAACCAGACTATTCTGTATCACGACATTACATTGATCCATACATTACATCATATTTGATCCAAACATTGCTCATATTGTGGGTGAAACAGATCGGGCTTTGGGCTTTTTTCCCTAACGACTTGACAGACATAAGAAGCCGATAGGTAAGATAGATACAACGCTTGCCGATCGCTATCCACATCGACATAAATAGATCGCTATCAATACAGGAATAGCGTACCGACAGCGGATCCTTTCAAAGCATTACGGGCCTGCTGAAGGCTATCGAATGAATTCACATCCTTTTAGCTCTTTGAAACAGAATTAATTAATCGCATTAATTAATTGCAACAATGACGTCGCCNCCGATCGCTATCCACATCGACATAAATAGATCGCTATCAATACAGGAATAGCGTACCGGCAGCGGATCCTTACAAAGCATTACGGGTCTGCTGAAACTATCGAATGAATTCACATCTTTCTAGCGCTTTGAAACAGAATTAATTAATCGCATTAATTAACTGCAACAACGACGTTGCCACATCACAGACGCCAAAAATGATGATCAACTGTTTGTTTCCCGGAAACCATAATTTCCAATACCATTTAAGATGACTCAGCTGATAGACATGACGAAACATCCACTCTCTAGGCAATGCAGGTAGCCGTAATATCAACCGCAAGCCATACATTTTAGGCCATGCAATCTAATAGGCTTCTACTGCAAGGCCAGCAACTCTGAACCAGTCCTAACCATTACGACTATACCACTCGACTACAACAAAAAACTACTCCATCGGTCGATTTCCAGGGTTCTCTGGTTTCATCCTAGGACATTAGAGAACGGTGAGAGCGAGGGAATGAAAAAGGATTGCACGCCGGTTTAAGGAGGGAAAAGCTCATCGTGAAACCACGTCTGCTAAACATGCTAAAGAAAAGTCGGAATGAAGAAGGGAGCGTGTGCTAAGCTTTCACGATAAGGTGAAGTGCTATAGGACAAGACCATCGCAAAAAATTGACTAAATGCATAATTAGCGATTGTAATAAAACGAAGTTACTCATTTTTAATAGAACATGATGTCAGTTAAGATGTACAACTCTGTAAAATACCCAATCCATCATTCGACTCCCAACCATGTATTAGAGATTCCACTTATTAGGGCTTTCCTGAGATGTGCTTACTGTATAGTCAGCATTTCGATGGAAGCTCGAATCGAAGTCCACTCACAGAAGCAAGAATGTCTACATTATCTGAGCATAAGTAAGATATATCAGCCAGTACAATTACATCATGTTTCTGGAATATTACATAAATAAGAATCAGTCTTTCCTCATCCCCTTGGATAAAGATGTGCAGGCTTCGTATTCAGCAATTAAGAACTACCCTTCCCTGGAACTTGAGGGCCTAAACATATTCTAAAAAAAAGGGGAAATCGAAATGCTTTCGTTCGAAAGAACTTGGGGAAAGTGTTAAAGAAAAATGTCCTTACCATAAGCCTTGCAAAGTCTATACGACGTATCAGGGGTTCCATTGTAGGCTTATAAACACGGGAAAAGGACGCATAATTACACAGATAAAACCCCTAATAAAAGCAAGAAAAAACATTTTTTCATTTATTATGGTCATAATCGAGCTTACGATATGTTCACTGAATTATTTGAAACCTAATGGGAAAATAACAGCTGTCAAATTTGCCATCTCAGCTATCAGTCCTACCAATACACCTGGTCATGTGATGCCAGCAAAAAAAGGGTCATACTAAGGAAGAAAACCAGACAACAAGTATTGTAAACTCGAATAATGATAACTGGTGATAATCGGTAATGATAACTGACATAATCGTATAATTTCTCGGTCTTACCTCTTCCTGAATCTTCCTCCTCCGTTGTACAATGCCATCGGACATGTTGAGTGAAGCGTATCACCTTATGAAGAAATTTCCAAAAAGATAAAAGCAGCAGTCACAGCAATGCTACGTTCCGGTGGGTACAACGCGCTCCCTGAAGGCAAATTCCTTCTGAACTTCTTATATTCGTCAGTAAACATTGAACAAAAAACAAAGGATCAATCAACGGTGATAAATGGAAGCATTGGGATCAAATAAAAGACGAAGGAGAACACGAGCACAGTGAAGAATATGTAATTGAATAGAGGCGAAAATAATGACAACAAGATTCAACATTAAAGCGGATAAAAAAGTCCGAAACCTTTACGAATCGGTCACGGCGATAATAAGAAATCGGCGCTAGAAACGACTCCTCATCGAAGCTGATTGATTTATAATAAATAAAGAATGAACAAAGGAAAACAGCGAAACGAAACAGAAGAAATTCACATCGAAGGACCAAAGGCGACTGTTAGAAGGACTATTTCTTCGAATAGCAGCCACTGAAAGACACCGGCGGCTATCGGTCGGCACTAAGTGAAGCGTTGAACTCGGCGGTTACTAGGGTAATCGAAAATCGAAACACTTCAAAAGGAAACCCCGCAACCCGGCTGGCACTCCCCATCAACGAATCCATAGGAGAGCGACCGCCGTCGCGACCGCATTGCCGCCCGTCGCACGTGGAATTCTCCGCGCCAGGACCACCATCTGAAGTTATCTGGACTTCTGCGGCTTGTTGAGGGGCAAGTGCGCCCCATGTGGAAAAATCTGATTGGGAGGTTGAGCTCAGATGCAAGAGGGACGGAGAAGTAGGCATCTGCTCTGGTTTGTGTCTTCTCATCACGACAACTTCCACAAGCAACGTCCTTAAGCAGCAGCAGCAGAAATCGAGCTCAGTGAAGCTTTTTTCGAAGTGATTTCAAAGCTTTTCCTTGCTTTTTGACTGTTTAGCTGCAAAGTGAAGTGTTTTACTCATGGTAACACTAATATTTTGGAAATAATGACGGTTTTCCTAAACATAGATTGAGGAGGAGGGGCGTGTCTGCGACAAATGTGTCAGCTACAGAGTCAGGCCACGCCCACTTCTGCTCGTCTGCATCGTCCGGCTGGAACAGCGCTCGGTCGTGATTTATGGGAAACTGTATGACTTTCTCAGGGTATTTCTCATTATATTGACTAACACTATAAATTACTAATTTCCTACTACTTCAATGCAAACTCCTTCCCTAACCTGAAACTAACTTGGAAGATGCTTCTTCCCATCAAGGTTTCAGAGTTAGAGAGCGTAGACGAGCAGACAATAGGCCTCTCTTCACCCGCTGTACCCTCTTCAATACGACATGTTAGTCGAAATATTTTCGTGATTTTTGGTAGTACCTCGCTAGCTCTCCCTCAGTGGGTACAGATGTCGTACTGTATCAATACACCCATGGTACATGACTTGGCGGAAATGGAAGGTTTGGTTATGGAAATCCCATTTCTTGATTAGATTGCTGAGTATTCGAAAAGAGGGGTGAGCTTTTTTTCTCGAAAAGCACTCTCATAAGTCGAAAGGGAATTGAAATGTTAAGGAAGGAAATGCTTTCAAACACATGCTCGTGGCGGTATGAAGCTTTTGTATTGAAAAGGACTGTGTAGCTCAGTCACCACAAAAGCAAAATCCAATGTAGAGACATATCCTTACTCTAATCCCGTTACTGCTTCGTACTGCTAATTACGAACTCTAGTGAAATGTGTGACTTTAGAATACTCCTAATTTCAAAGTTATATGGTGCAGTAGAAACATTTGGAAATTGTTCGGTCCCATGCTGAATTTTCGTTCCCATGTGACCAGGAAGGGTACAGGAAAGACTGGGTTCAGGCCTCTTTTTATGTATAAGGGTGACAAAGATGTGGTTCTGTCAAGACGTAGGACAGTATGACCGAGAAATCTGGAAAATCATTCAGCTCCATTATTCAGGATATTCCGCCAGAAGTAAAAAAGAAGTTCATATGGCTCCCTCCGTCAAACCTCGCTGGAGAGTCAATTAGAAAAGGTAAGTTACTGAAGCCTCTCATCTTGCAGAACCTTCGAGGTTTAAGCTTTTTGAAAATTGTCATTGACTGCTGCTAGAACTTCCTATCAGATTTCCTTTTTGAACCTGGCATGTGTGACTTCGAAAGGTTTGCCTGGATTTCGAACTCAGAAAAAGCAAATGCATTATTTTAAGCGGAAAACAGGGACAGGAAGTAGTTTTTTGGGACCTCAAATGGAACTATTCTTGAGTTTTTTGTCTTCATAGCTCCGGAATGATCACCTCGGCCCGATGGCTTTGATCACTCTAGTTCTGACGAATGCATCCCTGCTCGGGATCTGAAATGTTTGACATAGTGGAAGGGCTTCGAATCATTTTTCCTCCCCCTTCAAAGTCTTCATGGAGGAAGCGCATTTCGGACAGAAGCTTTCGATGACTTAAGAACACTACACGGTGATACTTCATGCAGTGAAATTTTACGGAAAATCGCTGCTTTCAATCTTATGGATTTTCTGGTATTCAGACGTTTTCACTCGAAAATAAACTATAGTCTTGTTTTTACCCCACAAGAGAGAATAGTATGCTAGAGATGAAGAGCCGCACATTTTATTATTGAATGCCTGTACAATGGAACCGATAGGTGGATCATTCGATCCAAACTCTCATATAAACCATCTATGAAGGCGAAGACATTGTGGAGCTCAGTTATTGTTGGCGTAGTTCACTCGAAGCTGCCGGCCACCGAAATCTGCTCCGTTGAGGGTGTTGACGGCATTGTTGGCTCCAGCAGCATCAGAGAATTCGCAGAAACCGAAGCCCTTCATACGTCCAGTCTCCCGGTCATAGACGATTCTGAAAGTTATCATTAAGGTCTGAAGGGGGAAAGTGAAAATTCTTTATGGACTTACTTCACATTGGTAACTTGACCAGCTTGACTGAAATGATCACCAATGGCTTGTTCGCTGGTTTGGTAAGGGAGGTTTCCAACTGAATTGAATTACAAACTCCTTGATCAATCCCCGAAAAAGTACAAAATGGACTTACCATAGACGGAATGAGCACCACCGCGAGATCCCATTGTATTTTTTGAAAGTGAAAGCGGCTACAAACAGGTAGATGCTGTGATTTTGGTTCACTTATCCCCACTTATATAGTGAATCGCGAACCGGGTTACGCTAAGTACCGCCCATTTGCGCGGGAAGTTCCGCCCTGTCTATACTGGAGATCTGTTCGCCCTCATGTGACCTGGCAGATACCTCAATCGTTGATAACCGATACAGATTGTACCGGTTCCTTTGATTGAGTCTAATGGGATTGTCACATTTAAGTTCGATAGGGTATATAGGGTTGCTGAACTGAAATAGAATTGGTGAAGAAGCAGTTGTTATGGAATGGCCATCGTCTCCCTGTTAACTATTTCTTTTATTCGGGTAGAAGAGTTATCCGGTAATTGGATAAACTTTATCCAAGCATCGATGGAGAAAAAAAAGCGAATGTGAAGTTCGCACGTAGAAGCAATGTAGTCCATTTCTTCCTCAGGAGTACGCCATGCATTCCACTTCCACTTCGAGATTGAGAATCTTTTTGACTGTGTTTCTTATTGGAGAACACACCTATGCAGAACTCGTTCTATCCATTCCGTAAGCTTGCCGTAGGGATAAGTCAGATTCCAGTCACAAACTTCATTAAATAAACCTACAATGAGTATTAGAACTCCGGTCAGTCAGAGAGGGCCTCCACTAATGACCCTTGTTGGGGATGGGAGCTCCTCTTGCTGTTTCACAACCGATCCTGCTACGGCACAGACTTCTGTGAATCCCTCCTTTTATGTCATTATTTTCCGGGAGCCCTTTCAAACATTTCTTCAAATCCAATCACATAGCTCGAAATTCTTTTGAAATGATGATGGGAGGATGGGGTAAGGCAAAGCATGTAGCTCCTACTCCATCCTTCTTGAATAGGAAACCTTACTAGAAGTTTTCCCATCATCCCTAGTCTTACATGTTTCTAGGTTCGGTTAGATAGAACTAAATTCGTCCGCAAAAAATCATCCTTACTTGTCACTGCTGATAATTAAGCTGAGAACGCATCGGATTGCATTTACGATTCAGATCAAAAATGAAGTGCTTGGCGCATTCCAGTGGAAAATAATTAATGCTGCATATGATTTGAAGCTTCTCAAAATCCTTCCATCGGCGTCTTATCGTTGTTGGACTTTCCAAAATTCTTTCTCACCAATGAGTTAGAAAGATTTTCATATGCTCTCGATTCTCCGATGCCTTCAGAAAGCTCACGCATGAAACACTCGAAAGATCTCCGTAGGATCCTGGAAGTACCGCGGGTACTGCTCTTCGTTTTGATACAATCCTCCACTGTTAGAGAGTCATTGAGCTCCTGGGTATGCCTCTGGTGCGATTTACACCCTTATCCCAGATTATCTATGACACTCAATACTCGAATGAGGTCAGGCGGATAGATCTTTGTAGAAATTATTGGAAATTCGGACCTTATATAGCTTGGCAGATACAAACAGCCAGTTAAATATAGAAGTCTTTACAAGCACTGATAAATTCTATACAATTTTGAATTTCAACCGGCAGTTATTCCTTCCTAGTGTTCCAACTTTAGTGTACCTATTATTCCTATATACTACCTATTTGTTTTCGGAAACCGCATCCTTCAACAGCAGCAGTGTGCCTGTGGGACTTTACTATGTTTATGTGGCTGGGCCCGTCGAATCAGACATATAAACAAATACGAGTCTATTCCAAGTAGTTTGAAGCTATACATCAAGAAAAAGAAAAGAAAAACAGGAAAACAGAAAAATAAATAAAAGGAAATACATGCAGATGACGGAAAATTAAATACATTATTACCACTCAAGAATACATTTCCTCTTCCTCTGGTCTGGATTGGTCTGGTATAGATTCGCGGAAGCGTGGGGCTACGGGACCGGATACTGGCCCGGTAATTTGCTCCCGGTCCATACGTGGGACAGACACTACATCACCCCCGAAAAATTGATGAATTCGACCACTCTGTAGTTTCAGCTTCAGAGTGGTCGTCAGTATCTTGGTCCCCAAGAACTTTGTTTTGATATTGACTGCCTCGAATATAGTAAGAGTAAAACGTCCGTGATTACGACGTAAATCCATGTTAGGCAGATGATACTTTTGGTGTAAGCCATGCTACCGGTGTTTGTGCAAAATCGCCAAAGCGTGTGACAAATACGACAGTATTCCTTCCACCTCTGTCTATCCCACACAGGCACTATGCCCTGTATAACTTAGACTCGGAACCAAACTTGCCTCGCCTGCTTGATTGATCTAATTTTATTCGATTCGGTTATTCAGTTCATTTTCAGGATAGGAACGATGGCACTGAAAGCGACCTTGATAAGCACAGATTAATTGTAAGATACATTTAGTACCATTGAGGCGCACGCATATTTACGAGACTTCTTAAGAAAATGGTCCTGCTCCTGGTCTTTGTTTCCATTCTTCCGTATAGGTTACACATGATTAGGTTGGTCTACCTGGCAACGTTAGGTGCGAAAACACCTCCGAGGCCCAACAGGGCGGAGATCGACGCACAATGGGCGGCACTTCATGGCACACACTAGGTAACTCGCTATATAAGTGCCCATAACTGGGTTCTGATCACAGAATCTACCTGTTCTTAGCCGCTTCACTACTTCAACAACAACACGCTACAATGGGATCTCGCGGTGGTGCTCATTCCGTCTATGGTAAGACCATTTTGTATAATCTCTAAGAATGGTAAAAGTGCTTATTGTTTATTTCAGTTGGAAACTTGCCTTACCAAACCACTGAACAAGCCATTGGTGATCATTTCAGTCAAGCTGGTCAAGTAACCAATGTGAAGTGAGTCAATGAAAGTTTTTCAATCCTTTTTTTGAACATCACCCATAACTTTTAGAATCGTCTGCGATCGGGAGACAGGCCGTATGAAGGGCTTCGGGTTCTGTGAGTTCTCTGATGCTGCTGGAGCCAACAATGCCGTAAACACCCTCAACGGAGCAGATTTCGGTGGCCGGCAGCTTCGAGTTAACTACGCCAACAGGAATTGAGCTCCGCAATGTCTTCGCCTTCATAGATGGATTTATATGAGATTTCGGATTGAAAGATCCACCTATCGGTTCCATTGTACAGGCATTCAATAATAAAATGTGCGGCTCTTGAAACTGTACTCTTTAAACACTTTAAACAAGACTAGAGCTTGAAAGAGGAGGTTAAAGGGTCAGTTGAAAATAGCTATACAACCATTCATTGATATCGAATGAGAGCATCGATTTTGCGTAAACCTCAACAAAACAACAAATATCAGCATGGCTGTTAGCAGACAATCCTTACTTTATATAAAGCGCTCGCGTCTGTCTGTCCGTCTGTCTGTCTGTTTGTACGGAAATTCATAACTCCTGTCTCCGTGGACCTAGGACGTTCAAATTTGGTAGGAGCATAGGCGGTAGGATGGGAGCACATACGGTGGGAGCTCGGAGTTTAGAGAGCTTTGAGCGCAAGTGTTCAGTTCTACTGAACTTTCATCAAATCAAATAGAACCAACATCAAAAATAGCCCCTAAATGACTAAAAAATTAAGCAGTGGTAGGCTGATCCCCCTGACCAGACCCTTTTAAATCATAGAACGCTTGCCATGTGACGGTGCTCTGATAACACCATGACACCAAAGGGAAGCAGGAAATCAATAGGGAAGTCTAAAGAACTCGCTATGAGTTCAGCATGTTTGTTCCGCGTTCACTTCCGACCTTAGAATTTTGTGGGAGAGTTGTTACTTAAGAAGAGAGGTGCGCGGAAGCAGTCTGGGAAATAGAGGGAACTTGGAAGAGCTAACCATCGGCCTAATCTGGCTTGGATTTGCTGGAATTCTGTTGGACAGGCAAAACCAGAACACAGCTTGAATAACTGACGGCAATTAGGCGCAGTCCGCGATACAAACTGTTTCGATTACTCCCCTCTCGTATGAACTTGTGACTTCCAAGGATAGTGGTGAGACATTGAAGGGTCGAAAAACGATGCGACAGGGCTTATAAGGGCTCTAAAACCAGCCTGGCAGTCGTACAGCCTCAAAATTAGCCGTGTTCTAAAGTTCATCTGGAGGCTGCACCACTTACAATGAAGCTTCGGGACGCCGGCGGATAGTCCGCCGATGTAAGAGACGCCCAGACGGTTACAGACACATAATCTCGTACAAACCGCTTTCATATAATTTTTTGAAATCTTTCACTTCATAAAATTCGAAGAATTTTTTCCCTCCGCCATTTTTGTACTGTTCTGCACTATAATAACATTTTGGCTAGATACTTTGTCATTATCGTAATCTCTGCCTTCAATCGGTCGCCAAAGTTTCTGGTTTTCTAGTTTTCTGTAGTTTTCTGGGAGAGATGGGCAGTGAACCCAACTGCCATCTAGAATTAGTTGCGTATGAAGCGCGAAGCAGTGGTTCTAACTTAACAGGCCGGGTTGTACCAATATTTTAGTTTCTCTTTCCAACCATAGGGAATAACCGTCTCGATAAGACTTTAGAGGATTGGTTGGGGGAGTTATTCATAGACTATACGTGCGACAAGAACGCCACAAACCAAGAGCACATCCCGTTGTCATGGTATTCGCAATATTTCTAGCGATGTCTGCTATAAACAGAAACGGCTAACCAAAAAGTTAACGAGAAAACCTTTCATGTTTCCATATCTCTCCATTGCTCTCAAGAGGTCTTCACATGAAACACCTGAAGTACCTGGATGCACTTGGGACTACCGCAGGTGATGCCTGCAGTAAGTGTTACCTGACAGAACCATTTTGACGTTTGATAGGGAGCCGCTCGTCCAAGGGACACCTCTAGTCCCATTTACCTACTTATGGAAGTCCCTATCATAAATCATAGCATACCATAAATGACTACGGAGCTATCAAACATGAATGATGGAAGATCGAAAGGAATGTTATGATGGATTTTGATGGCATGTTAGCAGTTATGATGGAAAATTGTAAATTCGACGTCTTGCATATAAAAGAAGAAAGGAAATCCCCAGAATCCGAAGATTTTAAGGGGGGGGGGGGACTTAGGCANACGGAAATCTTCTTGTGAAACTAAACCCCTGATTAGACTTTTTGATGAGGGCAAAAGACGTCATTTTTCCTGTCTTGAATGAAACGCTCTACTACCAGTAATAATTATTCACCCATTCCAAATCAAATGTTCTCTTGTCGCTCCTGCATGTACCTCGCTCAGCTACTCATATACGCTCTTCCAAACCTATGTATGTCCGCTTGCCTGCCGTGTTCCCTAGAAGTAAACTTTCATTCACTACCGGTTTCATAACATCGATCGAGCGAACGCACTTCTCACTAGATGCTTTCACCTAATGATAGGCCTCATGAAGGTTTTTCGTGGCTTAGGTAATTTCCTTCCGAGCTTGGTTTACCAGCTGTGGGAGGAAATTCGCTCGTGCCGCCGTCTCCGTGCGAACAATACCGGCATCAAGGTCAGAGTACTGCTTTTACTATGCTTTTCAAGTCGATATATATCCAAGTTCATGGCTTTTAATTGAAGTTTCCAAACCATCCTAGAAAATACTAGAGAGACAACAGAATTTGATATTCTCTGCCACTGCAGATGCAATAAGCACGGCCTCACACCATACGGGCTCCCAAACCGTTAGGCGTGCTCCTAGAAAAACAGAAAACCAAGTTCGAAGAAGATGGTTGAAATGAAGTGCGGACGAGTATTCGTCTTATCCGAAGGACTGCGTGAATTTGGAGAAGGTGTGTCAAAAGCAATGCTGAAGTCACTGGAGAGACGGGAATCGGTCAGCAATCAACCTGCACTCTAGCTTTTCCAATCTTGCAGCTATTTTGATTCAAAATGATCAAAACTATAGCCGATTGATGGTTGTTGTGTCGCTTGGCATTACCTTTACAAATAACACCTCATTACCATCGTATATTGTTGCAAGAGTCCGGTACGAAATCCAAAAAGCAGTAAGTAAAACAGATAAAATTCATGTAGACCTGGTTTTTTTTATATTGGCCAGCGATTTCCGACTAAGACATCAGAAGCATATGAATGCTTGACTTACATAATTGGAGCCAATTTTTCGTTCAAAAGAAATTCCTGATGGAACTAACTGGTGAAAACTTCAATATTATGCTACTCCAAATCAGAAAGGTGACCCTCATTCGTTATTTCCATTCCCTCGAATAGGTTACCATGGCTTGGGCCGAGATGTCAGGACATATGATGTGCGAATAGATCTCTAGGCTAAACAGGGCGGAGCTCGACGTGAAGTGGGCGGTACTTAGCGGCATCACCTACTACGGAAGGCACTATATAAGGGCCCATATGTTGGGCGTTATCACAGCATCTAACTGTTCTTAGCCGCTTCTACTACTTCAATAAGCTACAATGGGGTCACATGGTGCTAACTCCGTCTATGGTAAGACCTTTTTGTACCGTTTTGAGAATAGACGAACGATTTCATGGTCTATTTCAGTTGGAAACCTGCCTTATCAGACCACTGAACAAGACGTGGGGAATCATTTCNCTAAACAGGGCGGAGCTCGACGTGAAGTGGGCGGTACTTAGCGGCATCACCTACTACGGAAGGCACTATTTAAGGGCCCATATGTTGGGCCTTATCACAGCATCTAACTGTTCGTAGCCGCTTCTACTACTTCAATAAGCTGCAATGGGGTCACATGGTGCTAACTCCGTCTATGGTAAGACCTTTTTGTACCGATTTGAGAATTGACGAACGATTTCATGGTCTATTTCAGTTGGAAACCTGCCTTATCAGACCACTGAACAAGACGTGGGGAATCATTTCAGTCAAGCTGGCCAAGTAACCAATGTGAAGTAAGTCAATCAAGGATTTTCAGTCTACTTCCGAGGAATTACCAATAATTTCTAGGATCGTCTACGATCGGGAAACTGGCCGTATGAAGGGCTTCGGATTCTGTGAGTTCTCTGATGCTGCTGGAGCCAACAATGCCGTCAACACCCTCAACGGGGCGGATTTCGGTGGACGACAGCTTCGAGTAAACTACGCCAACAGGAACTGAGCTCCGCATTGCCTTCGCCTTCATAGATGGATTTATATGAGAGTTCGGATTGAACGATCCACTTATCGGTTCCATTGTACAGGCATTCAAAAATAAAATGTGCGGCTGTTAATCTCTCACATCCTAAAAGCTATGAATGGAATAGGGAACATTTCGAGTTTCTGGCTTAGCTCTCTGAATCAGCTCGTCCAAGTTTCAAGAAAACTTCCATTGATTGCTGTAATGCTTACTTGAAAGTGTATCCAATGTCAGATACAGCAGAGCCAATCCTTTCAATATATAGACCTATTTGATAGCATCCAAATGAAACCAAAGAATGGGGTTGCAGCCCAGACGCTGCGAAAACAAAGAATTCTTCTAATTGATGATTTTTCTTACTCGGACGGAGCAGTAAACACTTCTCTTCACTTTTATGACCGACTGAACACTTGGCTTACGCAATACAGTGGAAAATAACCTTCAGAATGAACTCCAGAATATCTCTAGTTTGGGTTGACTAAAAATTGAGTGATAAGTCACTGGATAACGTCTCTCCTTTCTAGATTGTAGACCTGTAATCAATTCAGCAGTGGAAGGTCGTTCAAGCTAGTTCTTGATGGCCATGCAAGTATCACAGAATGACTTTACTATGACGATTGTAGATAAGGAAGAGAAGAAATAGCACAAATTAGATGGACCTACCTTCTTAGACGCCGGCGACACCCGTATGCCACTGGACTGATCGAACTGCTGTGCAAGTCTGAAAATGGGGAGTTAGTGGCCAAAACGACTTTTAGTATTTAATTCTGCTAGTTACAGTTACTTCCAAGCCTGTTAGTAGAGTTACTAGTAAATTTAAGGTTCTTCCAGTATTCCCTATCCAGTAGCCAATTGTCGGATTGTAGGTCACTGCAAAATGATCTCGTGGTCGATGTTGTAAAAAGAGTGGCAATCCATGTTTCCATGAGGAGTAGAGAAAAAATAGAAAACAAAACATCGAAAAAACTTTGGATCCTTGGCAATACTACTGGAAGGTAATTTCATTTGAAAATAAACAGAACAAATCCAAGAAAGTTTTTGCACTATTTCACCCTAGCCTCTGTTACCGTAGTACGGTAAGAAACGAGAAAATTTCACTCGAAAACATAGCGAAATAGCAAAAAATCATGAATTCTTATTAGCACATGGTTACCATCTACATCTACTTGCTACAAAAGGGATCGAATCGCGGATCGATACCCGCCCAGGCTAACCAAGCATTCCATCACTCCGTGGTCGATTTATTTGTACCAGACTCGTCTGGAAGGATAAAGACACTGTTAATGGTACATTGGCTTGCCACCCCAAGCCATTGTATGGAACACATACGCATTCAATATGCCACTACCATTCTGAATGGACCCCGAATGCATGGGCCCATCACTCAGACGGNAAAAAAAAACTCCTCGAAAAATTGCCTGTGTAAACTAATCAGTTCACAAACGCCAGACAGTACATGTAGTTGCAGAGCATGGTCTTCAGTTCGATTTTGGAATGTCTCATCTGCTGCCTTACGCCATGCAACGATGGGGCTCTATCCTAAGCGACCGCTTCGCAACCGCACGCATCAATATTTGTTGAAACGGATAATCAATAAAGTCCATTTTGCAAAATTCTAACAGGGGTAAGCTGGAAAGAGCTGTGAACTAACAAATCTACAGAAATTCATAAACTCTATGGATTCGATGACTTTATTTAAATCACTTATCACAACTTAATCAATTAAATATCACAATTATTACCCGTGGCTAGATACAAAATAACCAGCACATTCAAAATGAACATCTTTGCACTTATTATTAATGCTTACAATTTTCTAGTAACAAATAAATTTGAACGAGTTTCTTTGAAGGAAATTAATATAATTTGAATAGATTTTCTTTGCTTTCAAAGTTTTTCTGGGTAATTCATCATTGGTACAATAAATACAAAAAGTTGATTTAATCGGTAAGATCGGTTTCGGCTGTGGAAGCAGTCGGACCGGACGATACAGAAGCGCTGGCAGTTGACTGCATCGCCAACGAATGGAAAACTTCAGCCAGCGTCGACTGGGACAACGAGAAATCCTCGACCGAGAACTCTCTCTTCAACTAAAAAAACGGACTTCACTCAAACACTACATAAACAAACAAATGACCATGCTTTAGTGAAAAGAAGGGAAAAAAGATGTTCATTATCCAGTGGGATACGCAACGCTATTAGGTATTAATAGAAGTTCCGAGGCAGTTTAAAGAGAAAGGATTTTTTTTAACAACTAGTCACGGCGATTAGTCCTTCCTTTCGGTAAACAACGCGCAAATGGGAAGTGCGCAATCGTCCCAAAGACTCCGCCACTTGCTTAACGAAAAAAGTAAGAAGGTTTTCCTCCTACCGTAATGCGAACTGTTATTGCCAGATCTTAAGCCTACGAATCTCTCCCGTTATTTTAACGTAGAGCACGTTAAAATAGATTTATCTGATACTCTGACCAGCTTTGAGGTTAAGTATATACTACTTCAAATCCTATGGGGGAACCTGAGAGCCAAATTTTTCTTCGAGGAAAAGCCATCTAATAAGTAATATCTGATGAGTATGATTATGAAAAAGTCCAATCGGAATTACCTGATTGACAACCCGATAAATATCAGAAATACTAGAAGCTTCTCGAACGATATGGAAAAATACGGTTGAACAGTGGACAGACTCCATTTTAGCTCCTTTTAGATGGCTCTGGACAAATTTAGCCGCCAGTAACGCATCATTCTGACTGGTCATTTTTACCGTAAGGGAATGACCTTCACCAAATCTGAAACGGCGGTAGTAAATGATACAAAACGATACGATAACCGTAATATGCAGATTATTGTAAGAATTTGTAAGAAATAAAGTACAGTTATAGGGTATCTTGCAAATCTTCACGGATCAGGTTGTGTGAGCCGGTAAGTCAGACGTCTTATGTACACCTACGGGAACACAGTGTCTACTCCGAAGAAAGTCAACGTTATGTTCATTTATGAAACAGGAAAGTTTTCACTTTCTTGTGTATGCGCCATGCATCTAACTTTCACAAGGGATTACGGAAACATTTGAATAAGTAGAAGACAGCTACAAAAATTGTACATTTCAACCACTGCCAGAATTAGCAATCACATAAATCTCTGCAACTCAGCTAACATGTAGAGGACCTCCAATTTCTAGCTTCCAAAAAAGAAATGAACGGAGCAACGATCTAATGAGCTACATAATTCGCACTCCATCCTTCTCCGCAAAACGACAGATCGATAAAAATGCGGAGCTATTGACAAAAATCTTACTTGTTTTTAAGATGTTGCTTGCTTCCAATGCATCGAAGCTGGCCGCGATCCATGATGGCTATTCGTGTACACAGAGCTTCACATTCTTCCATCGAATGTGAGGTAATTACCTGGATATGTATCGATTTCAGAAGAACTTCAGCTAGCCACTTCAAGTTAAGAGCTCACAACAGCTTTTCCCGATTTCCGCAATCTATCGATCACCTTCCACAGGAATTGCTGTGAACCCGGGTCCATTCCAGCCGAAGGCTCATCCTAAAAACGTGAACAGGAAATGATGGCTATAGGATTGATAGCGATAGGGTCGGAAAGAAACCTTATACGGTATATTCTGCTATACTAGGTCATACTATGCTATACTATTCCTAGTTTGAACAAAGTACTATACTGAACTGAATTATATCGTTATTATATTGTTGGTATAATACTATTCTACACTATACTATGTTACTCTACTATATCGATGAGATTTATCGGTTTTTCGCCATAGTTACTTGGACCCCTTATGAAAAAGATCACTTACAAGGAGTATAAGCGATGGATGGTTGATCAAAGCTATCGCAACGGACACCTTTCTTCTATTACCACCTGAAAGCGCTGCCGTGACTGTTGACGAGTAGGCCTTGAGATGTAGTGAAACGAGAAGTTGCGTGACGAGCTAAAATTCGATCCATGATCATTTGGAACTTAGCCAAATCGCCATGCTGCTGCTCCTTACTCACGCACCGGTTTTATGTGCTTCTCAGGGACACCACGGATTCTGGCAAATAGCTCGATGTTCTCTGTGGTTGTCAACTTCATATTCAGGGCATCGAACTGTGGACAGTAGCCAACTTGATCAAACGATGATCGATCGCCAATTACCATACTGAAATGGGAAAAGTCTATACGAGTGGTAGTGGAAGTGGAGTCCAGAATGTGCAGGTCCCACTGGGAACTTCACCCACAGTAGTCGAATTTCCAAAACCTGCCACTCATTCGAATTTTTAGTACTTATTTCAATCCTACCGCAAGTATGCGCCAAAATAAACTTTGGACCTTGAACTTCAGACTTCGCACGTAATCAATGGCATGTTTACAAAGTGGGCGCCTACATGGATTGCCAACCATCACCGCCTGTACTTCAGGGAGCACGCGGAAATAGAACTGCTACACGTTAATCATTTAATAGGCGGATATTTTACCTCCTTCCATGAATGTGTACAGCTCCGAATCCTGGCCTAATCTTCTGCGTCAAAATGGCAAAAGTGGTCGTTTTTCCAGCACCATTAAGTCCTAGCAGACCGAAGCATTCGCCCTGATCCACAGCAAACGACACATTACGTACCGCAAGGGCCGTCTTGGTGTATGCCTGAAAAAGTAGATTCCAAAAAGATTTCCTAATGACACACAAGCAGCTCACATTGAAAACCATTTCCTAGATTTGCTGAAATAAACCGTATCGTGGGCAGACTTTGAGGTTCCCTTCTTATCAATCAAAAATATCGAAAATATCGTGAACTCGCTCACCTTGGCCAGATCTTTGACTACTAGAGGATTATCGCCGGACTCTTCCAGTTCGTCTACTTTTCGCTGCTCAGCAATCACATCCTCATCGACAGCACTCCTAGAGTTTTCCAGTAGGCGACGAGTACGAATTTGTTCCCACCTTCTGAATGAATATAAATGAATTGATAGGAAAGGACGGGAACCATGAACTGAGGCTAAGAAATTTGGATGGCAACAGAGTAGTGGGGGATAAGAAACTCTATCATAGGAGGTGTTGTCCAAAAAGGGCAGTTTTGCCGAAACGGAAAGGCAATCAAAGTGGATTGGTCCGATCAAGAAGGAATCCCCTTTGTAGGCCCAAGACTCGATCAAAAAGGGCTCAAAGTGAAGGCTGATTCCCAAAAGGGTACCAGGTAAACCGTGCGTTTTCAGCTGGCCAGGTACTTCCTATTTTCGATTTTCAAACCCATTTTTCTGTACTCTTTCAAAGCCACAATCTATTCCAACAGCTTTTCCAGAGCCCTCCAAAACTTATTAGAGCCGAAACTACTAGGAAATTCAAAATCGAGAAAATATGAGTCAGGGTGCTCAGGGCAAGTGCTAGAAAACCAGCGCGCCTAAGTTATATGTTGATCGTGCACGTACCTCAAAAATCCGAATGGTTCTCGTTCGAGAATGAAAAGCACTAGAGCTGCTAGTACAATATGGGCTACTAGACATGCACAATGTATGCCCATTAGCGACCACTGAAGGAGAGACGGTATAGGCAGCGAAGAGAAGAGATCAGGTCGATTCAGCTCTCCTAAACGTAATGTTCTCACGAAGACGTAAAATTATCCAATTACAAAATTAAAAACGAATATAGTAGTAATTGGGCCTACTAAGAAAGTTTTCGCCAAGTTGAACCAGTTGGAATACGAAACTGCCACGAAATATTGCCATTCCCAGATTGTACTGCGGTAGTATTAGAAATACTGTCGAACATATCGTATGCGGACCAATCAGAGTAGGATCCTAAACGGGATACTTGTAAGGAAACATATTGAAATCCAAAATTGATCATATGGACATCTCATAAGCAATAAATTGGGACGATATTTGGATCTGAACTGAAATTGAACGGAATTTCACTACATATTATGTACTGATGAGTTACCTACTATAAATTTAGTGAACTTATGGACTTCACTACCCTTCCCATTACAATCATCCGGTTCCGATATCAAGCCAAAGCTTCAGGGTATAAGCGAATTGCACCACTGACTACTGAGGAACGTAACTAATTGACGCTGATCAGGCTCGAACCACGACCAAACATGGTTGGGCGAAATACGGGAGATAGGTCTTCCAGTATAACTCTCTCTAGGTTTCCTTTCAAATAACGGTCCTTCCCATGATATCCCACACGATGGAGGTCAGCTCTAAGCACTTGACTTGGGTGCGATGCGAAGAGGGCGAGAGAGCTAGAATGTAGCGGCGAAATCTTTTCAAATTTGCTTAACCATCATCCTATGCAACTCTTCCGCACTTAACCGCCACGGCATGAATCCCCAAGTTTGGAATGCAGGCTTGACCCTGGAAAAGCTCATCACTCTTTTTCAAGTATGCAGCCTGAAGGGTACAAATCTAAACTCTGACCTCTCGCATTAGTTGCTCGATGAGAATAACCGTCAGAGTTGCGACGATACCAACAAAGAATGTGCCGATTGAGATCAATACGAATGACAATGCAGCCACGTCAAATCGTCGCTGAAGAACGTAAGCCCAAAGAACAGCGCAGAGACTAAAACACTTCGATTGAACTCCAATAAGCGATGTTCTCATCCTCATGATTTCGCTTTCCAAATATAAGAAAAGGCTGTTTACAATATTGAAAAAACAAATTAATTTGATACGACTCAGAATAAACAACAAGTTTTCATTCACACTATTTAGAACCGTCAAATTCCCAAGACCGCTTCTGCTTTTTAGCCTAATATTGAAGAATGTTGTGCAAGGGCCACGTACAGCGTCCCAACACCCCCTGACATAGGGTAATCTTCCTTATTACCTTCCAGTACAACAACGAAATGAAGGTGGCAATTGAAGGATATGAAATTAATGTTGTCTCGGTAACGCTAAAACACTCTAAAACAACTTGGCGATTGCGCTGTCGCCGCACAACTATACCCGAGAGCTATAGGCTTGACAATGCCGGACTGTATGTCTTTAGGTCTAGTCGTAGCCAAGTACAAATTAACATTCACCTATTTTATGATCAATGAAGCTCAGCGGAGGTAACGAAGGAGCAGAGGTTGTTGCCTGTAGGATTTGCTAAGCTCTATCAAGTTTAACGAGTCGCCGATTCCTGACCTGATGGCACAGCACAAGCCCAAAGAGCTTATTTCCCGAAAAAAATTCTAACGAAAAGTTGCGTTTCTGGTTTAGTTTAGTTTTCAACTTCCCATATAAGAAGCGTATCGTTTTTTCTAAGCTGTATTCAAAGTGGTATCTTTAAAGTAAAGGCTTCAACCAACCCGTAAAGCAGGAACATGAGAAAGAAGCAGCAGAGCGATTCGAAACTGTACGCAAACTCCTTCACTTCGAATATCACATAGATCAAGAGGATCGCTATCAGAGATAATGTGTATATGCACTGAAAAAGAAGTCAGATTCAGAAAAACGGAAGGATAAGCAATAAATAAGTGAAAACAGGCATGACATGGCAAGAGTAACTAACAAAAATTATAATTTGGACAAACTATTCATCAAAAAGCTCACCATATCGAATACGTAACCGGTCAGCCAGTAGGTTCGTCTCGATAAACCGCTAACAAGCTGTAGATGGAAAGCATCACATACTCGCTCTGAAAAAAAAAA